TTTGAAGAAGAATGCAGAGGGGTAAATGAGAGGGTTTATGGGAGAAATGTTGTAATTAGAATACAGTCTCAAAAATAAAACAAAAATTTATAAATTGGTGTACAACTATACAAACCATTTTCATCAACCATCTAGCCTGTCTTAATGTCATACACTTCTTTATTTATATGATATTTAATAATAAAAGAGATAATCTGCCTACAAATGATTGATAGCTGAGAAAAAATAAAATATCCATAAAGCGGTCCTCTGGTATCTGCACACACACACAGGGATGCACATAAATAAATAAATATTTGTAAAGCAAAGGGCAAAAGCAAAGAAATAAAACCAATTACCCAAGTTCCAAGTAAGCATTTCTCTGAGTGAGGAGGTTAGGGAAACAAAGCAAGATGGAAAGGCTGCATATAAGTTACTGTTAACATTAGTGCTTTGGGGTCTTGTGGCAAAGGACCAATCTGTTTACCTGTAAGCTTTTGAGACAGTTTCCTTTTGTAGGTCTGGCTGGCCTCAAACTCAAGATCCTCCTCCCTCAGCCTTCTAAGTGCTGGAATTACAGATAGGCAAACACCATGCTTTTGTTCTAGGTAGGTATTTCACAGACATGCCTTACTAAAATTCACAAAAGTAAAATGTACATTCAAATAAAAGCTAAATTTAAGCCGGGCGGTGGTGGCGCACGCCTTTAATCCCAGCACTCGGGAGGCAGAGCCAGGCGGATCTCTGTGAGTTCGAGGCCAGCCTGGGCTACCAAGTGAGTTCCAGGAAAGGCGCAAAGCTACACAGAGAAACCCTGTCTCGAAAAACCAAAAAAACAAAAACAAACAAACAAACAAAAAAGCTAAATTTAAAAACTGTATAAATAAAATGTGTGTAAGAAAGCCAATGTTAAGAGTTTATAAAGTACCAAGAAATATTGCAAATCCACTGAAGAAACAAAATAAAATCTTAATTTAAAAATAAAATACAAATCAGACTTATTTAGTATGGTCTTTCTTCACACTTACCCTCCAAGCATACTTGCCTTTTCAAATAATAACAAAATATATTTTCTTGATTACACTACTATCCTATGTGTCTTAATCATTTACATTCTTTCCCCTAAAGGAACATTAAAGAAGATTTAAGAATTGTCCCTAACAGTTCTACCAGGTAACTCAAAATCACCTGATGATCTTTCCCAATGCTTATATTATCATATTCTTGTGTTCAACTCTTCCTTCAGTAACTATGTAAGAATCACCACAGGCCAGTTCTCCAGCAGATAAGTGCACTACAAAGAATAAGTGGCAGTTGGGCACACCTACATACACCTGCAATCCCAGGACTGGGAAGGCTGAGGGAAGAGAATCGTGAGTTTGAGGCTAGCCTGGGATACAAGAAAAGACCTTATCCCTAAAACAAAGAAAAACAAATAAAATGAGTTGCTGAACTGGCTCTCAAAGAGCAGACAGAACTGAAGAGAGGAATGTAAAATGCTTTAGTAAAGGGCAGGGAAAGGTTCACAGTGAGATAAATTGAGGAAGCACTCCATGGGACATTCCTGTGAAAAGTACCCTGGCTTAAAATAGAACGGTAACCTGTCCACAGGGTCACAGGAAGCTGCACAGAGTCAGAGCACAAGACACAGAGGAATGTGATAACAGACAAGACAAAACAGATACGGCCTGAAAGGCCGAGCTGAAATGTCTGATTTCAGCCTGCTGATAATCTTACAAGGCCTGTCCCAACCACAGAAACTTCCCATCACAGGAATTCTATTTTGGGTCCCACAGACCCTTTTAGAAAAGTGATGAATCCTAACGCTCTGTTCTCAGAATGTTTTTATAGGCATAAAATAAAATATGTAGACTTCTAACTAATTTCCATAGATAGTCCACACTTCAGTAGTACAACATAATATAGCACCTTGGCACCAGAAAAAAGCACTAGCAGGAAAGCCACATTCACCTTCCTCTTGCCTCAACCCTGAGCAAGTCATGCAACCTAGAGAAGTCCCCCTGATTATCCCCCCTTACCCCACTAAAATAGATCCTATGATCCTCACGGGAGAGGTGGTCCCCCAGCCCAAAGGAAAGGGAACACTGTCACTACTTTAATATGACCATAAATAGATCTGCCTAGAGAAGTGACCTAACGCGCCTGGCATGGCAGTGCATACCTGCAGGATCAAGAGACCAGAGAAGAATCTAAACAGTCGTGCCTTGCTAAAGGCCCCGTATTTTATGATTATCACACCCCTGTTATCTAATCGTACTTCTCCATCACTACCTACTTTTCTATTGAACCTAACATCAAAAGTGCCAGCTTATCTGTTTCTTTGGGCTGTTTTCTTATAAAGACTCCATGATATGCAATACTTAAATTTGTGTGCTTTTCTCTTGTTAACTTTCCTTTTGTTCTAACAGCCTCAGTCATGAATCTAGCGGTGAGGGAAGAAAAGATGCCTGTTCTCTTACACTTCCAAAGAACAGTTCAGAAAGAGGAAAAGGAGTCACTTTACAGGGGGAAAATACCTGAAAAGCACTACACTTCTGCTAGGTGATCAAGGTTAACAACCGTGACCACTATGACAGCTTAGAGAACCTTGATAAAGACAACCATGAAATGGCAGCCTACCCTTTGACCTCAATCCCTGACAGGTCCTAACAAGTTACAGTCAAATTATTGTTCCCTAAAAACAATTCTGTGACACAGTAATATAGGTTCTTTGTCAGTGCATTACATTTTGTAGATTATTTTTTTGGATTTTTATGACAGGGTTTCACATAGCCCAGACTGGCCTGGAGCTTACTTTGTAGCTGATGGTGACCTTGAAACTCCTTTCCCTCCTGCTTCTCCCTGCCAAGTGCTAGGATGCAGGTATATGTATACCTGATACCACCAAGCCTGATACATTAAGTAATATCTATAGGCAGGTCTAATTATGGCAATTTCAAAACAGTGCTAAATACCATATTTCAAAGTCTCAAATTGCCATAATAGGTTTCTCTTTGTATCTTTAGGGTGTTACTTCCAGATCCTAATTTGAATACCAAAATCTGCAAATGCTCAAGCCCCTTATAAAAATGGCACACTATTTACATACAACATATACATTCTCTTGTATACTGTAAATCATCTCTAAATGACTTATATTAAATGTAATAGAAATTGTATCTAAGTAGTATTAGCTATTCTATTTTCTCTAAGCTTCGTCCTCAAATAAATGTGTGTATCTGACAGACAAAGCAGACTTTGCAAAAACAGTTAGTCTTGAATAATTCATTAGAACTATCTTAAGAACTTATTTGCTGTTGATAAGTGCTATTGTATGAAAGCTAAGTCCAAATTATGGCTTTGCCCTAGAGTATGCCAGTTTCATCAGGAACTATAATTGAACTCATCTTCATCTCAGGTCGCATCTGCTCTTTACCAGCTGGGCTATCTTGAATAAATTACTATAAGCCACGGAGGCGGCTAAGGTTTCCCATTACTAGCAGTATTTACAACTGATAACACGGTATTTTATCACGTAAAGACAGAGAGAAAACAGTTGTAAAGCATCGAGGAAAGTGTCAAACCCTGACACACTGGGCACTACATACACTGGTAGGGAATTCTTGCAATAACAGTCTGTACTTTACTCTTAAGTGGTAAATACTTGCCTAAATAATATTTATAGAAGATCTTTGATAAAATACTTTCCAGTTGGTTTTAGCTAACCTTTTAAGTAACAAGAGATTTGTTCAAGAGAAGGATTTCATCTTGCTTTGCAAGAAGCCAAGACCATATCCATTTAAGGACGCATGAGAGGCTGCAGTCACACATTTTCGTTACCCACAGGAAAGAGGAGCCAGAGTATATTCTGCTATAAGCACTTTAAAAATTACAAATAGGTTCTCCAAAACTAAACAGTCAAGTCTAAAACTCAGGATATGCGAGCGTGCTGATTTACGTACATGGAATGTAAAAGCAATAAAGTATATGAAGAGAAAGCAAGACAACCATGCTCGGCTCTGCAAAAGAACTCAGTTCTATCCAAAGACAATCAAATTACAAGTGTCATTCTACTTTCTAAAATTTTACTTACATTTCAGACAAGAAAATGCTAGATTCATTTTAAAAATTGCTCCAACACTTAAATTTCAGCACTTGAAAACCTGGTCAACAATGCCTCATTGCCATAACAACTGACAAGAACCTACAGTCATTTCTTTCTAAAAAGCTACCTTTGGTACTATACCAGTTTATTCAAAATCTATTAGGTTTTTGTGGTAATATAATGTAGCTATATAAAAAAAATCTTAAGTACTTAAATTTATATTTTACTATCTTTCTGGGGACAATACATAACTATGGAAATATGGAATCATTTATTTAAAACATTGTTAAACTCCTAACTGAAGAAAACATAATAAAGTCAATACATTTGCCCCTCCTCAACTATAAGAAAAATCTTTTCTTTTTCAAAACCCAAAGAAATTGTTAACCTAGTTTCCTCACCCACATTCTCTCCCCTATACCTAGACAGGTATGAAGCACAAACATAAAAGAGGACAGGAAAGGCATCAGATGTCGCCTAAGGATGTTCACTGGAGAAGCTGCAGCCCTAACGCCCCCGCAGCTCCATGAACACTGCTCCTGCTAAGTCCACACCATTCCTCTCACCGTGCTACTTGCATTCCATTACATAACAACTATTTCAGTCTTCTAGACCACGTATATAAATGTCTCCTGGTCTGAAGATGTATAACTCTTTAAGGAAAGCTATCTACTATAAAATGTACAATCTACTATAACAAAGCTTACTCATTTTATTCTCAGTTATCTGCTACACACATTTTAAGATTAAAACCTAAAAGTGGAGCATAAAGTGTTAATGACCTTTCCAAAGCTAAAGTAAGATAAGTTCTAAGGTTAGGTTGTGATAAGAACATGGCTAACCAATCGTAACATTAGAATTCCTGTGTGACATCATAAGACCTCCCTAGAACACTTTTTCTCCTCCACCTACTTCAACTGTTCCCATAAACCTGGGAACAGAAAACTTCCCAGCTAAGATCACATAAGACTTCACACAACTTAATACTCTGCATTGTGATGATCACAGAAGTCAAGGTAAGACATGATTATCACTGATTTGGGAAACTCTTACTTTCTGTAATTCAAACTTACCAAACTTTAAAAGAGTCCTATCTTCCAAATTCCAATTCAAAGTTAGATAATAAAAGAACCTGTTATGAATGACAAAATGCTTAATTTCTAAATACATGCTTACCTATTTACTGACAGTAAAAATTAGGCAACTTTAAAAGAGATTATTTTGGTTTTTCAAATATGAACTTCTTCCAAATTAAAACCCTCTCAATTATAATAGCATATATGGTGGTAGAGATAAGTAAGTTAATTTTCATGCAAAAGAAATGGTTTCATTTGTTGTGTATTGTTCTGCTGGGACAGTGCAGGACAGGGCCACTGACGCTGTGGGACACAGTTTATTTATAACTTATCTCTAACTGTGGACACGCACACTGCTAGCATACCTACTCTGATGTTATCATTATGGATCTTAAGGTAACACAGTAAAAGAGTTTTGAGAATAGATAATAGAGCTCCTTTTCAAATGCTTGGAGATTTTACTCTCTAAAGAGTCCAGTCAACTTCTAAGCACTTCTAGAACTTCCATTTTCATAAACAGAATGGCTTGTTTTAAGTTTCGTACTAGAAAAAAAAAAAAGCTAGAGATTTTAAAAACATTTATCACAAACAAGATTGTTTAAAGCGACAGAAAACTAATTTAACACTTTAAAAAAGGAAGCTTTTTGGTATCTAAGCATTTCTAAATAGGAGAAAATTCGATGAATGTATAGTCAGTCAGTCATCTAACAACAGAATATACTTTTGTCAAGTTTTTATTCTCCAGTGTTCCTAAATTTCCTGTTATAAATTTCTAAGTAACACAAGAAAAAACAAAATGCCCAGGAATGGATATGCCACAAAAAAATTTATTATTGCCATTTGTTACAAATCTCAACTTACTAAATAAAATGTTTTCTCATTCTTAAATCTATTAGATCACATAGAAAATTCTATCAAACTTTACTTCACTATTTATATTTGTAACATACTTATATGCTAAAATAAAACTTTCTCAATTCCTGTAATAGCAACTGTTGCTTATGACAAAAACAACTTTGGAATATTCTAGGCAGCATTTTTAACATGTAGAAACTTTTCCAGCATGTGTCTCTAATGCTGAGGAGCCATACACTGCCTCTTACTCCTTTAGTATTCTTAAAATTACTTTTCCTTTGATAGTATACAAATGACACTTGGTGCCAAGTTTTGATAAGCATATTTCTGCATTTTTTACGTTTTTTGTTTTTTTGTGTTTTTTTTTGTTTTTTTGTTTGTGTGTGTGTGTGTGTGTGTGTGTGTGTGTGTGTGTGTGTGTGTGGAAGAGATAGATGGGGGAAGAGCAACCATGGCATATGTGTGAAGGTCATAGAATAGTTGGTAGGAGTCAGTTCTACCCTTCCACCATATGGGTTCCAGGAATCGAACTTGCATCATGAGGCTTGGCAGCAAATGCCTTCCTTGCCTTTACCCACCGAGCCATCTCCCTGCCCTCTGCACTTTTACTCTAAAGAATATCAAATAACATTCTCAAACTTCAATGGTATGTGCAAAAGATTTTCTCAATGGTGAGAGAGGGGTTTTTTCCCACCAGAATTTCCATACATCATTTTGTTCCAAAAAGTAGACAACTTCTAGAAAAAAAATACAATTTCTGTTATTAAAGTAGCTTTAGCAACATAAGAGGATAGCATAATTAGTGACTGTGATTAAAATTTTCATAAAATTTAAAAAAAATAAAATTTTTTTATAAAGCATAATACCCAATACATTTGAACTATGTATTTCTACATAGCTTTACGGTGACATTGAAGTATTTTGTTTATAAAGATATATTCTTTAAAACAAAGCACTAAAAAAGTCAGATAAAATCAAATGGAAGAAATATAAAAGATATACAAAGTATGAAATATAAACTTTTTAACATGGGGAAAGGAGTGAGATCATTTGCTTTTCCAAGAGGAACTGCATCAATGTCATTTCCTAAAGCAAATCAAAATTATTTTAACAGTATTTTGGTAGACATAAAGGAAAATCACTGCATTTGGGTCATATATTAACAAATGCTGTTTCTTAATGTCACCAATTTATTAAGACATATTATTTGCATTTAAAAGTTCAAGCGATTGAAATCTTAATGTATAAAATATATCAAATAAATTATAAATTACAGTGGTTATATAATTTAAATTATATATTAAAACACGAAGTGAGAATGATTAAAGTATAGATCACACCTCTACAGACTAGACAGTATAAACTTCCTTACTCTGACGAACAATTTCCTAAGTGCACTTACACAAATACTTTCTTTCATCTTAATTCTTGGTGTGTTTGGCTCTGCATCTCTACATCACAATTTAGAAAACAGACTCAAAAAGGTGAGCTGGTCAGGTTCACAGAGCTACATGCAAATAGGCGAACTTCAGCAGGGGAGGCCATGTGCACATCACAGCCTATTCACTGTTACCATGGTTAAGATAAATCAGTGTACTGACCAAGTTCAGTAAAGAAAGTGCTAAATGCTGTAAACAGTACTTTCTAAAGACAAATGTAAAGGATGCAAACTTCTGTTAACTTCAAAAAAGCGCTCCATTTAAGGTCCATCAAGTGTTGTGTCTCTACTACTCTGTATATTATCCTAGATATCATTTTCAAAGCCAGGCATAAGAAAATTAGGGATTTCTTTATAGTTATCAAGCAATAAGTTCTAGTCAAAAAAGTTCAAAATAATCACACAGACATTAACATACCACAATCAGTCAAATTAAAATCTTCAATTATTGCCGGGCGGTGGTGGCGCACGCCTTTAATCCCAGCACTCGGGAGGCAGAGCCAGGCGGATCTCTGTGAGTTCGAGGCCAGCCTGGGCTACCAAGTGAGTTCCAGGAAAAGGCGCAAAGCTACACAGAGAAACCCTGTCTCGAAAAACCAAAAAAAAAAAAAAAAAAAAAAAAAAAATCTTCAATTATTTAGCTTGCTTCATTGATAAAAATATGCCTCCAATCCATTTAGGCTTGTTACCTAAAAATCAGATTAATTTTTCCCCATAACTTTGCACAAAAACTTCAGTACTTTATTCCACTCCCATAGTCAATCCCTACATTTCATCAATTTCATTTCTTACTCACCCACTCTCCCATTTAAAAACTACTCAAGGTCATTGTTTTCAAGGTTCATGAACAAAGGAATCTTGCTTTGTTATTTACATTAAGAAAATAATTTTCATCTAATATGTGAATTCACACATTGACCATATCAAGAAAAGCAAAAATTTAAAACTGGGAATCAAGAACATAATCCTTCTAAGTTCCAGCAGCATGAAGTGGTAAGACTCAGTCTCTTCAGACATTTCCAAGAGGGTGCATCAGTACCCTCACCTGACACAATTCTGAAGCAAGCATTACCACATAAACACATGAAAATAAAGCCTGAGTGTGTATGTGCCTCCCTCCCCTCAACAGAGTCACGGTCAACTGAGGACCTCTAGTGCTTTATAGCATGTACTTCTCCAGGGCTTTCAAAAAGAGCAGGGATATATTTGCTAAGTGCTATTCAATTTTCCTTAGTACATCCATAATACTCTCTCCCTACATTCTCTTTTTAAAGAATACAGAATCTGAAACCTTACTATAATCTTAAAAACACGTTCATGGTGGCACACACTGGTAAATCCCAGGTTGAAGCAGGACTGTAGAATTCAAGACTAACCAGTGAAACACAGTAAGTTTAAGACGAGCGTGGACTATACAGTCCCAAAACAGGATTGTGTTAATACAAACAAACACATGTAGTTTTCAAAATCAACAAAAATAAACCTACAGACAAAACAGCCATAGCCATGAGCCAATTTCAGAGGGAAGACCTCCATCCAGTTGTTGAATGAGTCCTCTTCAAGACACAAATGTAAACAGGATATCTCTTTATTGGGCCAATTTGGTAATCAAAGACCATTTTATTATGACCAATTTTTATCACAATCAGGTAGAAGCAGCTGAAGGACTCTTTGAAGCTTCAGTCTGCACAGCAAAGCTGGGGTGCTGCTGCCACAGAGGAACTGGGAATAGAACTTACCAGTTTACAATTTGGTAAGCTTAAACTTTTATCTCAGTGAACTTTCAAAAACTAACAGGTTGATTTTATAAATCAACTGTCCGAATTTAGTTTAACAAGTCAAAAAAAACAAACAGGGAAGAAAGCAACTTCTAGCTTCTTGGTAAAAATGGTAATGAGTACCTGGAAGAAAAACACAGAAAACAAAAACCTCCAAATCTTAATAAATTATAAGACAAATCATACAGAATTCTAATCGTCTAAGTTAATCAAATGGGAAAAAAATACTAAATCTGTCTGCCAGACGGTGGCCCTAGGTATTTAGTATTTGAATTTTCAAGCATAATGTAGCCAGTTTTCTTAAAGGCATAATAAACAAGTAGACAAAAACAAGAGGACAGCCAAAGCCTCCAATTCAAAACTAACGTGAGGAATCTCAAGAATGTGACTTTGACAGAAGCAAGCCCCCAAACGCTAAAGTTCAGAAAGTTCTACAAGGCAATGGAAGCGTTTACAGTGGGGATTCCTACTCATCATACACAAAGATGTTAATGTGTCAGTTACCTGTACATCAGAAGACAGGCCACCCAAAGTTTTCCAAGTCTACTGAGGTTTCTTTTTCCCAAGAATACATCTAACACACTGTTGAAGTCGAATTTATGCAAAGTTAAGGATTCCTGCAGGAGTTGATATGTATGACTTCTACTCAATAGGTTCCTAAAAAAGTACATGACACCTTTTTGTTTGTTTTTGTTTTTGTTCTTGTTTTTGTTGTTGAGATAGGATCTCATTGTGTAGCTCTGGTTGGCCTGGAACTTGCTATGTAGACCAGGCTGGCCTCAAACTCACAGAGCTCCCGCCTGCCTCTGCCTCTGCCTCTCCCTCTGGAGTCCTAGGATTGGAGCATGCACTACCACACCTGGCACTATGACACTTGAAGGGTTATGGATGCCTGCAGTGTTCCTCTTTTCTCCTTCTATTAAAAAATAATAGTAAAACACTCTTTGGAACTTAATTTCTTTGGTTCCAATTTTAACTTCTTTAAAAAGAGAGACAGAGGTCATACAGCTTCAACTAAGAAAAGTAAAGAATTGGTGATAGCATTCAGTCCTTCCAAAAATGAGAGCAGACCCCACATACATACAACACAACACTGGGTACTTTTCTGCTCCTTCCATACAGCTCAAAGACATGATCTGGTATTTCCCACAACCAAACACACATCTTTCCTATTTCCAGTACTCTAGTACTAAAGTCAGGATGATTAAATTTTAAATTAGTCTGGAAGTGAATAGGCCCAACAAACATATATGGCCTTCCTTTTAAAAAAGGATGTGGGAGGCTAACTTGACATCCTAACACAATCTATTTCTGACTATCCTAAAAGATGCTCTAAAAGGATCAGCTAACAAACTATTTTTCCAATTGTCCATCAAATATTAGTATATTAAAGTGCTACTATAAGAAAGAGACTATGGCATTTCCACTTACAGAGTAGTCATCAGTGCAGAACAGAAAAGACCACCTGACCCCCATGTTACAAACACCAGGCCGAGCTCCAGTTGTCCAGTTGAAGAGAGAGAAGATAGAGGGATTCTATGAGCAAGTGCATCAGGATCACGATGGGGAAAACCACAGAGTCAACCAACCCAAACTAGTGGGAACTCATGAAATTTAGACCAACAGCTGTGGAGCCTGCATGGGACTGGACTAGGCCCTCTGCAGAGTGAGACAGTTGTGTAGCTTGATCTGCTTAAGTGGCCCCCTGGTGGTAGGATCAGAATGCATCCCTGGTGCATGAGCAGGTCTTTTGGAACCCACTTCTATGATGGGACACCTCCCACAACCTTGAGGCAGGGGGAGGGGCTTGGACCTGCCTCTACTAAATAAATGTACCTCTCCATGGGAGGCCTTGCCTTCTCTCTTGTAGGAGGGAATGGGGGAGTGGGTTGGGAGGGGGAGGCTGGAGGGACAGGAGGAGGAAAGAGGGTCTTTGGTATGTAAAATGAATTTTAAAAAAATTTCTTCATTTAAAAAAAAAACCTGTAATGTCTGTAGTCAGGTACACATAGCTCCAAAGTTAGGTCTGCACTGTTCTTAACTCTCAGCTTTCCAATTCTCAACATATGAGAAGAAGCCTCATTATGAAGGAATATAGCTTAATCACTACCCTACAGATTTTAGAAACCCAGCAAAATACCAATTATAGCACTATAAAATAAACTAAGAAAAAACTTACATGTACACATAGCATGGACACTTCCTCATATAAGGAAGATATGCTTTCAGTTTTAGTCAAGATTATACATTTACTACAAATCACTTTATAATTATGACAAGTTTCTAAGCTCTCCAAGACGCATGTTAGTTGGTCTGATCACTATGTGTCCTTTATATCCAGTTCTCTTACTTACTGAACAAAACTGTCAATAAAAAGGGTTATGAGGTGACGCTCAAGTGTGTCACTCAAGTTTTATTTGGTTATAGACTTATTTTTATTTGTGTGTACATGTGTGTCTGTGTGAAAGTTTGCCACATGGGTGAAGGTACCCGAGGAAGCCAGAGAGGATGCTTTAGTCCCTGGAACTTGAACTGCAGGTGGTTGAGAGTGGCCTAGCCTGAGGGCTGGGGGCAAACCCACACCCTGTGGGAGGGCAGTCAGTGCTCTCACCACTGAGCCATCTCTCCAGCCCTGAAAGCACATTTTCAGGAGTTAATAGCACATCTCTCTGTATCTCACAAACACCAAATCCCCACTTGTACAAAGCCTAACTCAGTTTAATGATGAGTTAAACAGGAGACCATCAATTTGGAAACTCCTCCTCTAAGCCATATTTTCTTCATCTATGAATAGAAGAGACTTAAGAAAAATATTAGTGCTGATGAGTTTTGTATCAAATCCTATGAATCAAAGTGGTTAATATGGTAATTACAGCTCTGCATTTTTTAACTATTTTCTAAAAATTTTAGTCATAAAAGTCTCATTCAACTTTATGGATTGAATTAAATTATGCTAATTTTATGCACAGAGATACAGAATGAACATACGCTTCCTTCACTCATATCCTGAAGCTCACGTTGGGGACACTGATGCATAGACTGAAATGAGCACAGCCAGACATCCCGATTGAGCGACACAACATACTGTTAAAACTCAGCAAAGGTGATGATGGTTCTACTGACTGGCTGAAAAGGTCTAATTAGAAGTATTTAAACTGGGCTTTAAGGATTAATTTCATCCAGCTGAGAATCAAAAAGTAAAGGGGTAGATGTGGCATTCCAGGTAGAGGCAGAACAGCCCGTCAAAAGGCACAATCATAAGAGAGAATACAGTGTTTACAGAAATGGGACATTTCACGGGCCTCAATTACCAAGTGTCAGGCAGGCAGAGAACAGCCCCTGTACATGCTTTATGATGAACTTCTGGAAAGTTCATTCCTTTTTCTTGTGTGTGTGTGTGTGTGTGTGTGCGCGTGCATGTGCCTGCATGTGTGTGCTGTGACAGTTTCACTTTGTACCTAGGCTGCCCTCAAATTTACAATCCTGCTACGGCCTCACACATGCTGGAATTACAGGTATGAACCACATCTTTTAATAGCCACTGAAATATTACAAAAAAATATATAGGCTCAAATAAGAATTAGCAATACTAATTCTCATTTCTCTCAAAACTATACTTCATTATATATCTTCCTATAAAAGGACTTGTCAAATACATAAATGCTCCAACACTATAAATTCCCTTGACCAATAATAAACTAAGAGAAGCACATACTACTTAAAGGATGCATTTTCTTAAAAAAATTACTTTATTCCTGTAGCATTTTATCTGGAGATAAAGTAATTAAATATACCAAGTTTGAGTTCCCATCTTTTAAATGTGAAGTTCTATAAATTCATCCACCTGCTAGACAATAGAGACCACATGCTAGACAAACATGAGCTGCTACTAACTCCTGAGAACAGATTTAGATGTGAATTGACTCTGTGTGGCTCCTCATCACAGGCACACACACAAAGGACAGAGACATACACTAAATGAAAATCCAGTCTGTTACACAATTCAAATCCTAACAGAGCCGAGTTGAAGAACTGAGACTACAGCATCTGACTGGCTTATAGCACACAGCTTCTCTATAAAATAAACACCAGGTTCTAACTGGGTCTGCCGGATGCAGATGCTGCCCTTTCCCAATCTCCTCACTCCTCTCCTCAGCACTTGTCTCACGTATAGGGCCAACAGGCTGAGGTGATTCACAAGGAATGTAGAGCGCCTAGGGAGGAAATCCAAGCCCGCAGCTAGAGTCTAGAGTAACATCCTGCTGACAAGGATGCATCCACAAATTAGACACAGTTGTCTCTAGACAGTAAATGATCACATTTTATTTCTTTCTATTCTTGTTTTAAAACTGACACAAAAGTGTTCCGATAAAAAAACAAAATATCAATATGCAAAGGCAGAAAGGTGGCCTCCAGTTTGAGGCCAGACTGGTTATGTAGTAAAATCTGGGCCGATCAGGACTGCATAGCAACACCTTGTCTCCAAACAATAAATAAATAAAATTTTAGTGATAGAACAATAATAATGTCAAAGTTTAAGTAGCTGCTGCCTTCAGACAGTTCACTTTATTTTAAACCTGTATCTAATTTCCTATTAGTAAGATTTATCTTGTTGTGTTTATTAATTATCCAAGCTTTAGACCATACATATTCAGCAATGGTTTAGAAACCTTGAAAGGAGGCCAGACACAAACCCACTCCTGGTAAGCTCCAAGAGTAGCTGAAACTGGAACTGTCCATGGTAGTTTGTACAATAATCATTACTGTGCCTTCCAAGCCTGGCAGTCTTTAGTACTCAATAACACGGTGTTAAAGTGTTTAAAATAACATTCGACAGGGGGCTGGCTCTGGGAAGAGACAGGAAGAGGATGTGAGTATGATCAAAATACACTATGATTCTACAAAGGTGTAAATCATAAAGGAGAATGGCAAACAGCTGGAATCTGTTTTTTATTTCATATTCAACTTCTCAGTAAACTGTTTTACTTTGGACTAAAACTAAGATCCAAGATATAATATACTATATGCATCTCTGTTTTATGATATTAGTCCTGAAACACTTATAATAATAAATGTTCACATCAATTGTGTTTACAGAGAAACAGATTTAAAGAAACTACAACATTCCCTAAACCAAGTAATACCTGCCAAAAACTACAGTTCCTACAGCTCAAACAAGACAAATGAGACTGTGCAGTAACATATGAGATACAGAAGCAGAAGAGCATGGAGACAGGAGACAGTTGATGTTATAAAGCACAGAGATAAGGAAGATGAATTAAGGCAAACTTGTGCATACCTATCCAGAGAACGTGTTTGGGTATGAGCCTAATCCATTTACTGTTTTTACATTCCAGGCCTCTTAAAGAAAGACAGCTCACACTTGCCTGCCTGCTACCATCTTTTTATCTCCCTCTTGACCACTCAAAACTTCAGTCTTCCTGCTAGTGCCTCCCTGACACCATGGAAAAAGTCCAGTACCTCACTCGCTCTGCTATCAGGAGAGCCTCAACTATTGAAATGCCGCAGCAAGCACGGCAAAATCTTCAGAATCTATTTATCAATTTCTGTCTCATCTTGATCTGTCTCCTGCTGATCTGCATCATTGTGATGCTTCTGTGAAGTGCTGCTGCCACCTCCACATCTGTAACATGCCAGCTCAGCTTCAAACCCTGCACTCCATCAAGAGGAGAAACAATACAGCCTACTCCCTGCCCAGAACGTCTTTGTGAAGGTCAAGATTAAGAGTGAAACAAATTGTTAGCCAATGTATTCATCTACTGGATCTTGTAAACAAACTTTACAATGACTAAGTATGCATGATGTAGCTGCCAATTTCCTCAAAATGGCTCATAAATTTCTTTCCTAATTACTTCTGACAATGAAGTATGAGTTTTAATTTTGAAACAGCACTGCAAAAAAGTTCACTTTCTACATCCAACACTAGTTTTACTGCTAAGAAGCTCACTTTATAGCTTCAGTTTGAGGGATAAATGAAATTTATACTGCATTACCAACACTTTTTTTTAAACAGGAACTAAGTATTCTTCAGGTCTCCACAAAGTAGAAAAACAATAATTTAAGTGAAGTGTTCTTATTCAAAATAGCTCACTGAATCCTCACATGTATGACTATCATTATTATTACTATATTATTATACAGAAGTCTTAGTAGCTAATCTGTCAGAATAAATACCTTGAAATAAAGATTGTGCCTTTTATCTATACACTAATATTTTAAGCTTATAAGAATCAAATAGGGAAAAGATCATATCATATAAATAAAATTCCTTATCACTAAGTTTTCTCAAGGATTGTGGAATTCAAGTATATTTAAGTTAACCACATATCTGCTCTCTCCAGGGCTTGGTGATCAACAAGCAAGAATACCTTACTGTGTGGCTGTGATAATTACTAACAAAGCAGAATCTCACCTGAATTTGACATTGACATGGATATCCTTGGTTTAGAGGGTTTCTCCTATTCCAATCAGATTTCCAATAAGGTATTATTTCAAGCATTATAAAATTTTAAATTCTGAATTCTTTCTCTCCAAATAATAATTCTTCCATTATACTAAAGTGTGAGCCTTTATTCTTCATATTATCTGTAATAAGATTCAGCTGTCTTCCTCTAATGCCCAGAGAATAAACATTTACTTTACTAAGTTTACTAGAGCTAGTAACAGTATTTTATAATTCTTACTGAATATGTTTTCAATCTCCCTTTCTAAATTTTTAAATATCTTTCAATAACTACTAAAAAAAATAGGAGCACAAAATTATGTTGGAAAATATATTAACCAAAACTTAGTAACTTAAATTGGCTAAAATAAAGAACAGTTTAGACCTCTACTTTGTAATCCCCTAATTTTAAATCCAGTTCAAGATATGCTACTAATGCAGCAATTACTAAGGAAGAGAACGTGTAGACACACTTCCCACAAAGATTACAAGGATATAAAGCATCAATATTCATGTTGGTTTCTAACATGAGTATTCTTAACCGAGATGCTGAGTGAAACTGTCTGAATTCCTGGTAGAAAAGGAGATGTTTGGGTTCAGGAGTTATCTAAAGAGCAGTCAAAAGGAGTCCATGTGAACAGGGTTCTCTTCAGCGAGGGCTGGAGATTCCCATCACAGCCAGAAAAAATATATAAAGCATGGATGACAATCATCTAAATCAGTGGTTCTCAACCTTCCTAATAATTTGACCCTTTAATACAGTTCCTCATATTGTGGTGACACCCAACCCTAAAATTATTTTCATTGCTACTTCATAACTAATTTTGCTACTGTTATGAGTCATAATGTAAACATTTTGGAGATAGAGGTTTGTCAGGGGCCACAACCTATAGGTTGAGAACCACTAATAATGGTCTGAGTAATTATCTATTCAAAAGTACATAAGTTCTACAGTTGGCTGTACTGATAGAAAAAGTGAAACCGCGGTTGAAAAGTCCTGTGTCCTTCATTATATTGCTCACTACTCCATCAATTTCAAGACTAATCATCAACTTACAGGGTTTCTCCTCACTCTGTCACATGAGGATTCCAGAATAGTGTAGCTCATTAAAGTGAGGAGAAAGCCCATTCTATAACTGGGAGCTTAACTGTCTAATCATGATACACAGAATAAGTTGTAAGGAATAAAACTCTGAAGACAATGAACATTCAAATACTTCATATAATGAAGTAAATTATCTTAATTTACAGGATACTAAAAGTAAACTAATTTTTAAACATCTAATATTATCTTTTACATTTTTAGTGGTAAAAATTTTAATCTATAAAATGCAATATTTTGCAATCAGAACCACCTATATTCAAATGAATATTTGACTTTGGTGAAATTGCTATACATTATATGCTACTGGCTATAAAATGTTCTAATTATAAAGAGTTTTGTATTGCAAAGGTCCAAGAGAGGTACTTTTCCCAAATAAAGTAAAAATCAAGATTTTCTAATACAAACACAAGAGGGGGACCTCCATAAAATAATGAATGGTTATATGCTAATACTCATTTTAATGTCTTGAAACTACATGCTAGACGCAGAGATCCACAGTCAAGCACCAGGCCAAGCTCCGGGAGTCCAATCGAAGAGAGAAAAGAGGGATGATATGAGCAAGGGGGGGTCAAGATCATGATGGGGAAATCTACAGAGACAGATGAACCAAGCTCATGGGAGCTCACGAACTCTAGACCGACAGCTGTGGAACCTACATGGGACTGGACTAGGCCTTCTGCACATGGGACAGCTGTGTAGCTTGATCTGTTTGAGAGGCCCCTGGCAGTGGGATCAGGATCTATCCCTGGTGCATGAGCTGGCTTTCTGGAGCCAATTACCTATGGTGGGATGCCTTGCTCAGCCTTAATGCAGGGGGAAGGGCTTGAATCTGCCTCAACTGAGTGTACCAGGCTTTGCTAACTCCCCATGGGAGGCCTTACCCTTTTTGAAGAGGAGATGGGGGTGGGGGGGGGTGGGGAGGAGAGAGACTGAGAGGGAGCGGGAGGAGGGATGAGAGGGAAAATCTGTAGTTGGTATGTAAAATGAATAAAAAATTTCTTAAATAAATAAAAAAAGAAACTACATGCTAAATTATATAGACAAAATATACATATAGACAAATAAATTTTTAAAACATGCAAATAAAATACTAGATGCTTTTCAAGCTACCTCTTGTGTCACAAAATGTAATGACACTACATTGTGTCATAATCTCATCTCTCAGTATGTAGATTATCTCAGTCAAAAAGTCAGACACAACAACATGCAAAAATAGTGAAAATAAGAAAAATTACAAAGAACATAATAAAATTCTTCCAAGCTAGAAGCCAGACTTTTTCATTCACAACTCACTTTGAAGAAATTGTCTTTTATGTTACTTAATCAAAATCTTCATTTAAGTAACAGAAAAGCCTCCACTAACATGTTAAAAGTATTAGTTGCCAATACCTTGACTGATCAAACCACTTTATGATTCATATAGGCACAAAATTTCATCTTCCTTTTTAAACAACTATAGCCAAGGGAACATGAAAATTGTAACGTTAGCCATAGGATTTACTACTTAATCACCATGGGGCAGATCCACCGTGAACTTAAGAGAATCTAATGATTAATGCACGTAGAGGTCCACATTCTCCACATCCCACTTTGAAAACAACGAACACAAAGGGCACATGTAAATTAAGCATTCTTCCTGGATCAAAGTCAAGAATCTGTCACAACCCTACAGAGTCAGTTTGGGGTATCATGGGTGGGGTATCAAAACAGAGAGGAAAGAGCCAAGATTAGTGCTGAACAGTGTGCACAGAGTCCTATATCCTAAACCAATGAAGGCAGATGGTTTTTCTTCAACCACAGAGGAAAATTCTTCAGAATTACACTACCTACCCTCTCTGGATGGTTTAGCACAGTGGTTCTCAACCCTCCTAATGCTGTGACCTTTTAATACAGTTCCTCATGTTGTAGTGACACCCAACCACAAATTTACTTTCATTGCTACTTCCTAATTGTTATTTTGCTACTGTTAGGAATTATAATGTAAATATCTGTGTTTTCTGATGGTCTTATGCTACCCCTGTAAAAGGGTTGTTCAAACCTCCGAAGAGGTCACGACCCACAAGTTGAGAACCACTTCTCTAAAGCATATAGGAATGTCTCTCATTAATTGTGCTCTCCCTCTACTATGTTCTAGAAAGATTCAAAACTGAGTTTTTTCTCCACAGTGTACATCATATCAATCCCTTTTCCAAATCAAGAAATTTACCCATTAGCATGTTATTCCACATACTCAATGGGGATTAATACACTACGTTTCTCTCTATGCTGTATTATCATAAAGTGGTTCCTTTAAACTGATTCAATGATGGTTGATTCACTTAACAATTGCAGCTGACTTAGAGGTTAAATCCAAAGAAACCATTACCAAATGGTACAAATCACTGGGCTCCATCTTCTCATTTTATAGAACAAGAAACTAAGGCCCAAAGAAATGAAGTGACAGGTCACAGACACTGGGTTCTCAGCATCTAAAACGAAGTCCCACCACAGAAGTGGGTGAACGGCCATGTTTACTGACATTCAGAGCAGCTAGAAATGAACCCAGCCTAGAAGTTCATCACTATATGAACGGGTGAGAAAATGTGTTACAGGTACACAATGCAATTTTACTTGGCCATGAAGGAAAATGAAAACATGGCATCTGCATAAAATGAATGGGACTTGAAATTACTCTATGAAGTGGAGTTCCCCAGACCCAGAAAGACAGATACCATGTACTCTCTCTCATATTGTAAGCTAGATTTTAATTTTATATATGTGAGGGCAACAATTACCAACTAGAAAGGGCTATGATGGAGGAAGAATAAAAAAGAGAGCAGAAAATATACATGACATAAGAGCAAGAAGGCTCTGTGGGACGAGGAAGGGAACCAACAGGAGGGAACTGGACTGGGGTGGGGAGAGCAGAAGATGAAGAAAAACAGTAAGAAAAATACATAATAAAATCAACATTTTGTGTGCATGTTAAAAAAAGTTATTAAAAAAAGAAAAAAATTAGGTCCTAAATGTGATATGATCAGGAAAAACATCCAAGACCTATTTTTTCCAAATCAATTTTCTTTCTCTTATGCCATGTCAGCTTCTGTTTTTGTTTCACATTTCTTTAAACATGTTTTCTTTTTATGCCTACTTAACAAATGAGAAAGTAAAGGTCAAGTTAAGCACAATGTTTAAGGGTCTCATGTTAACTTATCTCAAATGACTTTGTTTTTCTAATCAACACAACATGTCAAATTTATAGCACTTACATTTATTAACTTGTGAGAGACGTGGTGTAGGCAGTCATATACTTACTGCAATAAACAAAATGTCCACTGGAGGGAAGCAAACACTAGGTTTTGAGCCTTACCTGCATTGGCGTTTCACTTCCTTGTTGAAACTCTTCAATTTGCGGCTGTTGCCAAGGAGCTAAACTGTAAGAATCCTCTGTAGTTCTGCCTTCCAATGGGTTTGTCCGTAGCTGCTCTGTAAGCCACATCTGCGTCCTCACAGAAGGCTGAATGGGAACTCCACCTACTGCCTGCTGGCCAAGCATTAAATACTTTGGAGACTCAAAAGCCTCTGAGCCTGTCACAATGGGCTTGCTCTCAGGTAAGGCACTGTACGTCATGTCTAAGGTCTGTCTCCTGAGAGCAGAGGCAGCGGCTCTGATGTCCTCTTTGTTGTAGCTCTCAAATTTATACTTGCAGTCCAGGGTTGACGAGCGCTTTTTACTTATTTCTTTGTCATCGAGCTTAAGCATCTCCATACTGTCATGTAAGCAACTAGGCCCAAAGGTCCTTAAGTGGGATGGGAAAGCCCTGCCCTTCCCTGCCTTTTCCAAATCACTCCTCAACTCTTCTGTGCATACAATGCCACTCTGGTTGCAGTTCTCCTGGGCAGGAAGTTTGGACAAAGATGACCATTTCCGCAGGGGCCGGAAGTCTTTCATGTCTAGTGAGGAGTCCTGCTCCCCTCCCCTGTGGTCTCCCAATGTCTGCAGGAGGCTTGCACTCCATTTAGAGCCCTCTGATGCCAGAGAGTCCCTGTGTTTGGAAATTGAAGTACTGGAGTTGGATGGCATCACATGGGCAGTGGGAAGAGTAACCAATGATGGACTAGGTTTAAAAGAGAGTGTGCCACTTGAAGTTGAGTGATCTGGAAGGAGAAAAGATCGCCAAGTCAGTTTCAATTAACAGGTTAAAAATGTAAAATGCAAACTGCCAAAGTAAAAATCTGAATGCGGCTTCCTAGTATTTATTTCTGAGTTTCTTCCTCAAAATGAGGAAATTGTTAGTACTATTATCCCTCTACAGTTATCGGAAATAATTCACTATACTTTCAAACATAATCCCCACACCCATTTCTCTCCTCTGTTCCCCATCTGCTCCCAGTGATCCCCTCCACAGTCATCTTCTACTGCTGTGCCTGTTTGTTTATTCTTGATAAGCAAGTGAGATTCCTTAGGGTTGCTATAGGGACCCAGGAGAGGGATAATTTACAGAGCATACACACTCCTCATCAGTGCTACCCATTGAAGAAAATGCCTCTCCCTCCCTTAATGGACCACTAACTGGCCATAGATCCTCAGGGAGCAGCGGAGTCTCATGAGACCTAGTCCCTTAGCTACCATTATCTGCCTATAGGGACAGGGCATGGGATATTCATGGGTCCTTCTTCCTCTTCCTAGCCCCACCCATGACAGAGTGTTGGCAGGCCCAATCTTGTATAGGTCTTATGCTAGGAATCATAACTGCTATGAGATCAAGAGTGCAATGGTAATGTCATTCTGAGGAGTGTTCCAATGCATTCCACTCCTTTCTCTCTCTGGCTCTTATGTTTTTCCCCCCTTCTTCTGCAATATTTCCTGAGCCTTGAAGTGGGTGATATATAACTCCCATTTATGGCTGAGCTTTCAGCAAGCAGCCCCTTATTCTCAGCATTTTGACCAGTTCTAAGTCTCTGCAGCTATTGCTACCCACTGCAAAAAAAAAGGGGGGGGGAGCGTCTCTGACGAAAGCTGACAGTAGCACTTAACCAAAGGTACAAACACAATATTTAGACAGCAGTTTGATGGACACATCATGTCCAGTTAGCAGGAAAATAGCAGTAACTTCCCCTCTAGGGCCTATGACATCCCTAGCCAAAGGCATTTGACCAAGTTGGTAGTAGTAAATGTGGATTCCCTCCCATTGGGCAGCTCTAAAATCTGTTCAGAGAGCAGATGGTTCCCCTATTACTTAACTTGCCACTATCCGACCTGTGGGCACATTTTGCCTGGCCAGTCAGTAGTGTAGTGTTGTGGAATATTAGTATAAGATGTGTTGCATTCATTTATGCTGTAGAATATTATTTAATTGTGGAGGCCTACAGAGGCTGCCTAGTGAGATCTTACTCAAGGTCATGGAATCTGAGCTTGCTTTACCCAGCAGAGCTGCATAATGGAATAATTTGGCCAAGGGTGTGGTTACCAGGTGTTTGGAAGGGTCTACACTTGGCTATACGATGTGCTTTGATCTTGCAAGGGGGAGGTCTTTTGCCTCTCCCCTTGGCATATTATAAAAAGCCCTTTTGAATAAAGCTCTGGGCGACTAGGTATTGACCCAGGGCCCTCCCAAAGCTATTCTGTGTCTCTGTCTTTTTTACTGTCTCTTTCTACCTAATATTTCCTCATTCATCACTCCTCCACCCAGGAACCCTTTTAAAGGTGGGAGGAGGCCAGAGGTAGACTCGGAAAGACTCTCATATTTAATGATGCAAAGATGTGTTGTATTATTTTATGTTGCATTTGTTTGACTGTAAAGCTATGTTACTGTGCCTGCCTAAAACATCTGATTGGTCTAATAAAGAGCTGAACGGCCAATAGCTCTTTGGAGAGGAATAGACAGGCTGTCAGGCAGAGAGAATAAATAGGAGGAGAAATCTAGGCTCAGGAGAAGAGGAAGGAGCAAGAAAAGAAGAGGATGCCAGGGGCCAGCCACCAAGCCACACAGCCAGTCATGGAGTAAGAAGGAAAGAAAGATATAGAATAAAGAAACATTAAAAAAAAAAAAACCCAGGGGCAAAACATAGTCAAAGAAAACAGGATAATTTAACTTAGAAGAGCTGGCCAAGAACAAGACAAGCTAAGGCCGGATATTCACAAGTAAGAATAAGTCTCCATGTATTTATTTGGGAGATGACTGATGGGCCCCCAAAGAGTAATAAAAACCAACTATAGTGTAGTCCTTGGGGTCTGCAGCTCCCATCAAAAATTAAGACTTTTGATGACAATTCTCTACAGCCTGCCTAACACCCTCTAGCAGTAGTGAGCTAAAGCAGGAAGGAGGCTTCCACCCCAGTTCCAGCTGGATTTCTCCATATCCTGAGACCAAAGCATAGGAAATCTCTTTAGCAACACAGTTTCATCAGTGCTGAGAAGTAACCAGCAGTGAGAGTAAATAACTGTATCCTTCTGGGGGCCCTAGTGGCCTCCTAGACCAACCATTTGAGCCCACCCCTGGTACTGAGACTTCTGTTGAATAGCCTATGGTTTCCAGGAGCATCGTTATCTGTTACCAGGTTTTCTCTCTGCTTTTGCATACATCCTAGTGGGTGAACTACCATCATCACCTTCTTTTCTTCCCCCACTTCATGTTCTCCCTCTGCTTACACCTTTCCCTCTCCCCAGTATTGATATTTCCCCTTCCATTCATATCACATGTGTTCTACTATCCACTCCCATCCCATTAGTCTCTTTTTCTTGCCTCTCATCTGCCACTTTCAGGTCCACTACACATACTCACTCTCATGTAATTACAGATAGACAGACAAACTGATGTACATATGTATGTAAATTAGTAGCTGAGATATGCGAATGACAGAGAACATACACTGTTTCTCTTTATTATTTTGGTTATCACACTTTCCAGTTCCACCCATTTTCCTGCAAATTGCACCATTTACCTTTCTCTACAATTGCATAAAATCCCCATTGTGTCTATGCACAACATTTTCGCTATCTATTCATCTGACAGAGAGGTCTTCTGCTTCCTTGGGTAGGTTTACTCCAAGGTTTGGGGATTGATTTACTAGATGGTTTTAAGGCTACTGTGAAGATTATTTCCCTGATTTCTTGATATGGTTACCATTAATAAACATGTGTATGCGAAATTTGTATCCTGCTACTTTGCTGGGTGTGTTTCTCAGCTTTAGTTTTCCAAAGTTTTAAGGTTTTATGTGTATAGAATCATAAAGAGTCCTTTCCTATCTGTACCCCTATAATTTACTCTGCTGTCTTATTGTCCAAGCACTACACTGAGGAAGAGTGGGGAGATGAGCACTCTTGTGTTGCCCCCAATCTTAGTGAGAATGCTTCAAGTTTCTGGCTATTTACCATGTTACTGGCTACAAGTTTGTATATAGGCTTTACATTCTTGTGGTTAATTTGGCTAAGAATTGACAAATTTCATAGATTCTTTTTAATATTTTTAGTCTATTTCATCAATTTTTGTCCTGATACTCCTTGCCTCCTTCTGCTTTGGGTTTTGGTTTTTCAAGGCTTTAAGCCACATCTTCAAGCTCTTTACTTGAGCTCTCTCTGACTTTGGAGTGTAGGCACTCGGAGCTATAAATTCCCCACTTGGCACTGCCTTCACTGTACCCTGCTGGGTTGGGTACTCACACAACTGCAACGCTCCTCTAGGTTTTGGTCTGGATGACCTGCTCTTGGTGACAGTGAAGTATTATAGTCACCCACTATTTGTCAAACACTACTTTCTAAATATGCTTAAATTATTAAGTGTATGAAAGGATGACAGTTATACTTGAAAACATTCATATTTATCCTAGTATTGTGTATTTTTCAAAGTATTGTACCTTTAAAAGAAAAGTCTGGTTAGTTCAGTGGGTTCTAATATAGCACTCAATAAAGAAGGAAAGTCTATGTCCCTACATAGAGGTCTTACTAATGATCCAACACTAAAGTCTCAGACATAATTCTATCAGAAAACTGGAATACTGTATCATCTAAACTATGGAAGTCTATGCCAAATCCAAGCACTTTGGCAAGAGAAGAAAGAGACAGCAAAGAGAATCTGGCTTTCACATTTTACTTTCCATGAGATCTTAATTTTTTTTTCAGGTAACATAATTGTACCTCTTGGCCATATTTCTACAAAGGTGTTTTTATGATTCTCAGAGAGTCTGAAATATCTCAATAACATTGTTAGAGAAGTGTGAATACTATATTAGCTGATTATCTACTTCCCATGCTACTCCAAACACTGAAACATAACCACCAGGCCTGGCTGCTGCCTCGGGGCTAACAATGTGCTACTTTCCTACCTGCCTTCAGTTGCTTGGGATTTTTCAACTGCATAAAAGATCAACAATTGGTGATAAAAAGCCACTTCATCAGATTTTTTTTTTTTTTTTTTGGTTTTTCGAGACAGGATTTCTCTGTGTAGCTTTGGAGCCTGTCCTAGAACTCACTCTGTAGCCCAGGATGGCCTCGAACTCACAGAGATCCGCCTGCCTCTGCCTCCCGAGTGCTGGGATTAAAGGCATGTGCCACCACCGCCCGGCAGATTGCTTTTTTTAATGTCTTTTATGTGTTTGAGACAGAGTCTCATGGAGCCCCAGGATAGGACTGAATTATCTATGTAATCAGCTTCTGGACTTCTGACCCTCCTACTTTCATTTCTCAAGTGCTGGGACCACAGGTGCTGGGACCACAGGTGGACAGCACTCTATGTGGGTTCTGGGATGCTGGGACCACAGGTGGACAGCACTCTATGTGGGTTCTGGGATGCTGGGACCACAGGTGGACAGCACTTTATGTGGGTTCTGGGATGCTGGGATGGAACTGAGGGTTTCATGCATATCAGGCAAGCACCTTACCAACTGGGCCACTTCCTTAGCATTACCCTTGAATTTGTTACTATAAATCTGAACACAACCAAGAGACAGTGTTTATAGAATATGATCTTAATTAAATTAAGGGCAGAAGTTACCCCTAGAAGTTCCTTACTAAAAAGTCTCAAACTATAGCATGCAAAAAAGTTACCTGGAATATGCTACCATACATCAGCAGAATATGCTCAGCACTGGTAGAAAGGGGGCTCAGAAATACCACTTTTAAACAAGCATTCTACTGCTCAACTCATGAGAACACCCAT